TGAGAACAATATGGTCTTCCAAAAGTCCAGAGGCTTGGTCATCATATCACTTGCCCACTTCTTTCGTCTGACTATGTTGGCAGAACTTAATAAGAGCTTCCGTCTAGCTGCTCTGCAATGATAACCCAATCTGTGGAGAATCCGTTGAACAGATTTCGGGCTCATCCCACCAACTTTGGCCACTTCTGCAGTCATTAATCTGGGATCCATTTCGATGCTCCTCTTGACAGCCCTTTTTGTCCTCTCCGATGGACCAGGATGACCCGGACGCTGCTCAGTTGTTTCTTTGCCGTGTTTCCTGAACTGCACGATGATTCTATTGACTGTCGAAAGCGGGATTCCCAAATTCTGCGAAAATTGCCGCTTACTTATTCCACCATCTGCTTGACCAACTACCCTTCCTCTAACAAAATCTGACAATTCGAGAGAACCTTGAGTTCTAGGCATGTTGTAACACAAGATAATTAGTGTGCAGACCATTTTCATTTATATAGTGCTCTGTGAACACAAATTGTTAGCATAAATCATTTAAATTATGAAAAATTAGGTGTCTATATACTTGTTACCACTCAGTGTATAGTACTAGAATTTGAATTATAATTTACAGTTGGATACCAAAGTTATTGACATAAATACATTAAATAGTAGTTCAATAAAATTTTGAATGCGAGTCAACAAACGAGATGATCTGTGACCTGCCTCGAAATGGTTAATCTTCTCAATTTAAAATTTTTATGACTATATTAAAATTGTTGTAGCAAATCCAATTTAATGATTTTGTTCACCTCAGCTAGTGTATATAATGCTGTTATAAAAGTATTGTTATTAAAAGCATACTTTACCATTGTTGAACTTTAAGAAATAAAACTGTATTTATTCCCATATGTTTGCATGCCTTGAAATTATCAATCCAAAACCTATCCACAGCAATCAGTCTGTTATTATAATATATTGAATTAATCTGAAGACCACTTCAGAAGAGTTGGTAAGAATTTGTCCAAATAAATATAGACTAAAGAAACTTGAGTTATTTTGTTGTTTGTGATACTGGATGTGCAGAATATTTTAAAATTTGCCTTTATAGATGTGTCATATTATAGTTGATTAGATCTTTGTAAAAATCTTAAGTTAAAAGGTCTTTAAATTTCATTTGAACATGGAGACTTAAGATGCAAAACTTCTAATTTTCATGTTTGTTATAGAATCTCACTTAAAAAAACGAAAGTTGGGAAATTTTAAATGACACAAGTTTCTTTTTCCTCCCCCAGATTTTCACAAAAGGTAGCAACTGTACAGATTCATTAAAGAAGGCCATTGATCTAAAACAATTATTACGATCTTCAATTGAAAAATATGAAGAGTTAAAGATTGAAAAAAAGCATGACAAAGGTATATTTTGTTTGATTAAAAGCTTTTAAATGCTAATTACTAATTCTGACATCCTAGCTCTACTTTATGCACTGGTAAGTAGTGCAACGGTATGTCCAAATGATAAAATATACATACAAACATTCTTTGCAGTGTATATTTTGTCTTTTAACATCCACAACACCTGAAACAAAATATTTATGATAAATATACTTTGTTCACTGTTTTGGGTATTAATATTGCTACTAATATAGTGTTCCACCAACTAAGGTTTTCTACACCTTAAGATAATTTGCTCATTATGTTTGCTTTTCATTTTAGTAGGTAATTTGTAGATTCAATGTAAGTGATTTTTTGGGGGGAGGGGGTGTTTAGGTATTTTTGGCAGTGTTCTATCATCTTTTCCTACTGCATTGGAACTAGATTCTACATTAGATATTTTTTCAATGTTAGTATAGTAATCAAATGATTTTTAATTGAAGAAAGTTGCATTTATATTTTAGAAAGTAAAGATGACAGTGATGAAGATGAAGATTTTGAAGAGGTTGAAGAAAAAGAAGGATATGAACCTGTTATTCCTCCTCATATGAGGAATGAATATGGTAAGTATAATGTTTTTCTAATGATACATACCCTAAACATATGTTGATTTACTTAAAGAGCTATATTAAATGTATATTGTGAGCTAACTAATTTTTAGCATAAACAAATTAATTAATCTAATTAAAATTAAGCTATATTAACCCTATCACATTGACCTACTTACAATGTAAGTACATTAAGTAACTCACCCAAATTTTGTTCCAAAAACAAAACTTGTGGATGAAATTGTTTGAAACTTGAGAGGAACTTTCCTAAAGGCATTTAGCTTCAGAAAAATAAAATGTTTAATTTTTATTTTTATTTTACTTCTAATATAAATTTGTTATTTATTGTAATTATTTGCACTCAGATTCTGAGTAGTTCAAGTGCAATGTGATTTTTATGCTTATTATAAAAATACTTTTTTATTGTACAGTTTTCAAATTTCATTTACATAACCTCTAGAACCTACTAAATGAATATCAAAAACTTTTTAAGGTAAATGTTTATATTGTCATTTTCTCTATCATATCAATAACTGTAGCTATTATCATCGATGTACAGTGCAATGAAATGTTTAAAATTAAGAAATAGAAATATCTGTACATACCTTTAAACTCTTTGTCAAGTAATCTTAAAATATCCTCTTTTGGTTATATTCATAATTTCAGGTGTTTATCATTTCACTTATAGTATATTTTTAATGTTTTATTTTCCTTTCCTGTCTTTTATGGTTTATTACTTTTTCTCAACATATGCCAACTGATGCCTTGAGGCAGTATCTTTGGCAAAGATATGCAAGCCTTTAGCAAAATGTTTTTGCACTTGCGTAGTAAGTTAACCCTTGCAAACTGTAGTGAAACTTTTGTTATATTGAAAGATGATTAAACATTTAGAATATGAATTTTAAAACATAGATAATACATAATTAACTAAAATATAAAAGTAAAATTATGGAACTTTCAGATATTATGCATGCACAAATAATTTGCTACTGTGAATTAGTTTCCTGCAAATACTTGTAGTTTTTGGAGTTCTAGGTGATTTCATATCCTTGATATCCTAGTTAAACACATTTCCATGGAGCAAAATTGCAACACTGAATTAGAAACGTTTATAGAACATAAACTTGAAGTTGTTCTTCCAAATTTTTTTTTAATTATTTCAAAGTTGAAATTTCTTCAGCAAACAGTTTTATTTATATTTTATACTACAATGTTTTTAATTATAAATTTTGATTTTGGATTGATTTCAGTGTGCTACAAACAAAAATATTAATGTTTACGAACCTCCTGATTTTTTTCTGAACATAATAAGGCACTCATAGTCCCCTAGAAGGACCATCAAAATATTTTTGAATGAAATACATTAATTTGAATCTTGTGAATTAAATACAAGTCTAGTTTTATCAATTTCAGTCACTAACTGTTTCTCAACCATGATTGTCATGATGTTATGTAAATTACCTATATCTCAGCTTGCAGAAGCCATAAGATAGTGTCCTAAACCTGTAATGAAAGCTCTTTCTGTTCTTTTCAACTGTATAAGCCAGTATGACATACGTTTCAGTGGAGACTCGTAGAGATCAGAACAAAGTGACAAAATGTTAGCTTGTGATATGCTGCTAGAAGAAGAAATGTCTGTAAGCAACTTTCACCACAATTACACTATTTTTTAAGCTTGCATTATCATTGTATACTTAATTATGATATTGCAATATAATAGAAATTGTTTCTGCAAACAAGATCATGTTGAGAAATGTTAAACTTAGTTAGATCATTTTACACTTAACTGTATCAAGTTTTGTTTTACTGATCTGATTAGACATTGAATACATTATATTCAAACAATTTTTGTGCCTTACGACGTTGTTATAGTCCATTTGGCTACATCCGTAATGCTCTATTCGACAGCTGTGCAACTTGACAATAGCCCTGCTGTGTAGTTTCCATTGTAAAAGGCTCTGTCATGTGGCAGTAATGTCAAAAGACTGGATACTTTCCATAAACAATCTAGTGTAACAGGAAAACAGTTTCCTTGTGCCAGTTTCAGCAGTCCAAACATACAGAAAGCCATAGAGGGTACATTTGACAACTTCACCCATATTTCTTCTTATGAAATAACAGAAATAACCATTTAATTCTCCAGCTGCTTGAGGTATGTGATGATTGAATGGATATGTTGTGAGAGCAACTTGTGTACACGTGACTTGTGTTGCTATTTTCAGATGAAGGTCCTTCTTGATTATGTCCCATACTGTTGCCTGGGGCATGTGGATATCTTTTGCTGCTGACCTTTGTGTCTCTGTATTCTCATTTGTTACAAGGCAGGAAACTTTGCTTACCATGGCTTGTTGCAAGCTTCTTTCTGACTAGTTCTGGTGTCCCAAGTTCATACATATTCATTTGTTTTTCAATGCCATTAAGCAAAAGGGATATTCTCACCTTGAAAAATCAAAATCTCCAATTTGAACACATCTTTATGACTTGAGTATATGAAAATTTTTTTTATAGGATTGGCTGATTAGTCTTTTTTTTTTGGTGGCATCACCCTACCTACAAAAAACAAACAATGTCAAAATGTCGTTCAGATATAAACCTTTCCACCACAACTTTGTATTGTGGTTGTCACATGACTGCTGATTTGCATTTTCAAAAGCATATTAATATAATGTTTGTTTTGTTTGTTTGTTTTTAATTATGCACAAAGTTACACAAGAGCTATTTGTGCTCTGCCCACCATTAGGTATTGAAACCCGGTTTCTAGTGTTGTAAGTCCGCAGACATACCGCTGTGCCACTCGGGGACTAATATAAGGTACTCAATCCTCTGTAAGTATTGTAAGCAAAGAAAATCACCAAAATGAAATGTTAAAAAATATATACAAATAATGTAAAAAAATTTTTAATGAACTTGTTTTTATTCAAAACCGTAATGATCAAACTTAACACTGTTATGTGTGAAGAAGGTCGATTGTCAGCAAAACCTGCAAAGGAAATATATAAATTGAAATTTGCTGATTGCATAAGTATTCAGCTCTCTAAGTCAGTACTTGGTGGAAGCACCTTTGGCACCAGTTACTATTGTGAGTCTTTTTGGATAGAATTGTGTAATGTTTGCCTATTATTTCTGGCAAAATTGCTCCAATTCTGACAAGTTTGTTGGGGATCATTTATAGACTGCAATCTTCAAATATCTCATAAATTTCTGTTATATCTAAGTCAGGACTTTGACTGGGTCACTCTAGGGCATTCACTTTATTCTTTTGAAATCACTCAAGGTAGTACTTCGAGTCATTTTTCTGTTAAAATGTGAATTTTTGACCCACTTTTAGGTTCTTGGGTCAAGCAGGTTTTGCTCTAGGATTCACCTATACTTTGCACCATCCATCTTCCCCTCAATCCTGACTAGCTTCCCAGTCCCTGTTTATCAGAAACATCCCCATAACATGATGCTGCCACCACCATGTTTGACAGTTGGGATGGTGTTGACTGGGTGATGTGCTGTGTTGGGATTGTGCCAGATGTAATGCTTTGAATTGAGACCAAAAAACTCACTTTGTCTTATCTGACCACAAAACCTTCTGCCACGTATCTGCAGTATCAATTACGTGCTTTGTTGCAAACTCCATATGAGATTTAAGATTATTATTTTTTAGTAATGGCTTCTTTCTTGTCACTTGCCAGTACAGGCTAGCTTTGTGTAGGGACTGGGATAATGTCAATGTATGAACACTGACTCCCATCTCAGACATGGAACTTTGCAAATCTTTCAAAGTCACTGTTAGCTTCACAGTGACATCCCAAACCAGTTTCCCAACTGCTTAGTTTGGAAAGGCGGCCTGATCTGAGTTGTGACTAGGTGGTAAGAAACACATTCCACTTCTAAATGATGTATTTCACTGTACTCAAAGGGATAATCAGTGACTTTGAAATTTTCTTGTAACCTTCTCCTGATCTGTGCTTCTCTACCACTTTATCCCTGACTTGTTTGGAAAGCTACTTGGTTTTCATGGTTGGTTAGTTGTATCACTATATAAGTTGTGGCTTGAACAGATGCATTTATTTTGAAGTCAAGTTAAACCACTTTGATTACACACAGACAGAGACCATTATACTAATTTTGTGACCTTCAAACCAATCTTTTGCACCTGAATTGGTTTAGGGTTGCTGTAGCAAAGAGGGTGAATATTTATACAATTGAGAATATTTAAATTTTCTTTGAAAATCTAACTTACGTAATATCAACGTTTTTTTAGTTTTCTCAGTTTGTAGTAGATTTTGTAGATTCTAAATATATAAAGTCCCATTTGAAAGTTTCATAATTGCAAGCTCAAATGGCAAAAAAATGTGGAAACTTTGCAGGGGAGTGAATACTTTGCAAATATCTCTTGCAAATTTCCAAGGCTGAGAATTTGTACAAATGTCATCATTTAAAAATATTCTATTTCCCATAAGCAAGGTAATCAATAAAAAACATTCATCTCAAGTTTAAAAGTGATGTTTTTGTGGCTTGTTTTTAAATTATTTTTTTGTACATACTGTTATGATATTCCAGTAATAATATAATTTGGCTTATCATTTTTATAAACAAAATTATGCAAGGAAAATGTATTTATTTTTCAATATACTGATCAAAGTTATATTGACTCTGTTCACGGCAACAGGTATATCTCCCCAGTTACCTAAAACTTCCAAGTATACCCATCCAACCACTTCTAGACAGTGGAGTGTAAAAGACAAAAATCAAGATGAAGATAAGGATCCAACTTCATGGATAACAAATATAAAAGCACTTTGTACAAAAATGTCCAATTCTAACCAAAGGTGAGAATAATCTAGTGAGTGTGTGTTGTTTTATATGTATACACACAAACAACACAATACAGTCTAGAGAATTGTTCTATCCTTATGATCTTAGAAATGCTATAAGCATTAATGTATGAATTTTTGAGAAACTTTCAAGCATAAGTAAATTTATACAATAATTCATGAAATAACCAGGATCAATTAAATTTCTGTTTTGTTTTTTTTGTTTTGTTATACAGTTCTATTTATACAATTTTTTTCAGTTCAGTACAAAATACAAAAGAAGATAGTAGTCCTTCAACAAGCAAAGATTTATTACTTCATTCCAAAAACACACAGGATCCTGTAAAAGCTAAACTATTGGCAAAAGCACCTCACCGGCCTTATGATATCGACCTTTACCACTGGGAAGAAGAAAAACTAGAAGTTCCAACAGTTGTTAAGTGTGTATGCTCATTTTATATGAGATAAAACTTCTTAAATATACTTCATAGTAAGGTTAAATACTGTAAGTTTTTATATTTATGATTTAATTTCCTATATTGTCAGGTGTAAAACATTTTAGACATTTCAATTATCATATTGATATAATTATCATATGACTAGACATTTTAAAGTTTCTGTAATGTTATTCTTTTATTAAAAGTAATGATTTTTTTTATTTGAAAATAAGATTACAAGAAAAAACAAAATTATACAATGAAAAACTTGTGTTAAAACTATGATGTTACAGTTTGAGTAAAGTTAAGTATATATATTAACTTTTTATGAATGAATGGTTATATTACTGATACGTATAACAATTATAGGTTTGATTCTCTTCACAAGTTTTGGCAACCAATTGAAAATGAAACAACAGAGTTCCAAGCTCAGGTATTTTTTTATGTTAGTTGTGTCATGTATATTCAGTAAAGGTATGCATACATGAATTCCAGAAAAACAACTCATGAGTAAGCCTTATGGTAATTTTTGTAAAAATAGTTTTTAAAACTTTACAGGATTTTTTAATACAATGGTTCATAGTTTTTCTGTATTCTAAATCCTTAAATTATCACTGTTTATATTTTTGGTATTATTAAGGTAGAATGTGAGTTTAGTTTTTCTTACTGCACTTAACAACTAAACAAAGTTAATGTGACCTGGTGATTCAGTGGTAAGTCTTGAGGGTTTATAATGCTAAAAATCAGATTTCAATACTCGCAGTCGACAGAGCACAGATAGCCCATTGTGCAGCTTTGTGCTTAACAACAAACCAAGTGTGATATAAAACATTTGTATCATAATTTTTAAACCTTGTAATCTGCTAAGGTTCAATTAATCTTAAAATAGTAATTTTTGTAAACCTAAGAAAATTTTTAATTGATAATTCTGTATATAAATTTATAATCTATGTAAATTGTTTAATTATAGACTTTCAGGAGTAATGTAAGTAGGTATTTTAACATACTTGATGATCACTATCACTTTGTTCATGATTTTGTACCTGAGGCAGATTTATTCTGTAACATTATTAAGAGTATTATTTAACTTTCAATATTTCAGGAAGGAATAGCTTCCTTAAGAAGAAGAGCTATTGACTTCAGCGGAGAATTTGTTCCTGTCAAATGGAAGTGTAATGCACCTCTTACAAATGGAAAACTGTGCCCACGACAAGATAGGTTTAAAGTATGCTTAGGTTTTTTTGTACTTATTTTCTTTTGTGACTATCATGTAGATTATAGAAACAAAAAATTAGGATCTCTCTCACTTTAGCAGGATTACAAAGCACCTTGCAGTTGTCAAGTGTGCTACTGCATATCAAATTTCAAAAATTTGTAACTCAGAAATAACGTAGACTTGTCATTTTGTAATAATTATTTAATTTGCGAAGAAAAATTAAAATTGTTTTCAAGCTTTCATATCTGTGCAGCTCCAAGGTGTCCTGCCTGTATAAAACAATGAAAGTATTGATTTATTTTATAATTTTTCTGCCCATCCCAATGCATGGGTTTATATTTGCTAAGAAACTATCTTTCCTTGAAAATATAATAATGCATTTTGTCTTTCCCAGTTACTTTCTTTGTGATATTATAGTATATGGTCTGAATTATCAATAATGAAACACAACTTTGAAAATAGCTGTAAGGAAAGTTTACCACTTAGATCAGATTATAAACGTTTTATTTCTCTCACTACAGTCTCAGTCGAATCAACCCCAAATTGACCTTCATAGTTTCTATATTATAACTTCTAATCTGTTTTGTGTATCTTCATGAAATTTTGCAAACTTTCAGTGATTATTAATAGTTATTTGTATTTAAAAAATCCAAATTTTTAATACAGTAGTTTCACTAAAAATTTCTCCATAAATATATGGTGTCAAAGTGTTGATTGCTCCATATGCAAAGTGATTTTCATGTTAAGATTAAAAATACTTTTCTACATCTGAATAATCTCAAATTTCATTTGCATAAGCTCTAAAACCTCCTAAATAAATTTCCTACTTTTTTTTCTACCCGAACTCTACGAGGTTGATCAGTTTGACCGTCATTGTAACCATCATGGAAAAATCTAAATTACCCATTTTTTTTTGTAGAATGATTTCAAATAGTAACATGAAACTACATTTATTTATCCTAAATAGCTTTAAACTCGTAACAGTATACATTTGTTTATGCATAAACTTTATTGCCCTTTGAACTGTGTCAAACTAATATTCTCACCACATAAGTTGTAAATCACAATTCTCATACTAGAGGAAATTAATTATTTTTTTAACATTGCCTTATAAAATTAAGAACTTAAAACTTATATTAAAATTTGGATTATTGACTACTTTTTATGCCATGATAAAAAAGTAGTTTAGTTAAATTTTGAATGTAACTCATTAAAACCTCATGACATGCACAGAAAGAGACGCTAATCTTGAAAGTGTTATGTCGATGTTGAATAAATAAAGTGGTATCAGCAGTAATTTATGGCTTTATAGAAAAGTGACTAGATGGGGCTCCTGCAGGGATGAACATAGGAACTAATGAGTCTAGAAGACCTAGGAACAAACCACATATCCAGAAATTTTTTTGTAGTTTCTTTAAGCATTCTTTTCATTCCTGAAAGTATTTTCATGTTAAATCTTATCTGTTTGAAAGCTTTGGAAATTTTATTTTATGACAAGGCATCAGATAATCCTAGGTTTAATGAACATGGAAGTTGATGGCAAGGTATTCCATGACTCAAGTCCATTTTTTATTGAATATTATTATTAAGTTTTGTGTTCAAATAATTCACATAAATAAATGAACTTGTTAGGTATTAAAACAGAAACTATATTTATTATATATATAAATTTTTCTTATTTATAAATAATGTTAGCAAAAACATTATTCCCTAACTTGACAAAGACAGGATGAGGTCCTGGGTGACTTATAAATGTGCCAGTTTTTAACTATCATGAATCAGAATAAACCACTTTATACCTACTTTTTTGTGTATGTTTAAAAACGTGATATTTTCATTGGCACCAGAAATCTGAATTATTGTCAGCATTGTTTGCAATATCATTAATGTTAATTGCTTAAGAATTATTCCACATTCGCATGTGTATAATATGCATGATGTAGTTTAAAAAATCCTGCTTTTAAAATTTTGTCAACGTTGTAAGGTTTTGTTTACTTTATCTTTGGTTTTCAAGATTGTTGAAATTTATTTCAGGTAAATAATGTTGTGTGCTCATAAGTTGTTGTAATTGTATTACACATTTAGAAATCTTATGATGCACTTTAAATAATAAGGTACAAACATGTTCCCAGCACATAATGTGTTTTTGATAATTATTACCTTTGTCAAAAATTCTGTAGAAATAGGGCTGTATTGTCTGTTCAAATAAAACTTTAAAGTTTTCTTCTTGATAAAAAATGTTTAATATTGTAAGGAAAAATTTTACTTCTGGTAGGATCCAAGATTACCCTAAAAACAATTAAAAGGTTTGTTATACTAACCAATCAAGCACTTTCTGAAAATGTATTGGTATTGTAGATTTTATAATAAAACAGCTGTTATTACTTGAAGGGTGTTATTCTGTTTTCTGTGTTTTGTTGTTAAATTTCTAAGGGAGCTAAGCAAAATGCATTGTGTGCATTGCATATACTACAGTATGTTTATTATTTTAAACATAGCAATATACCTTACCTGTGATATATTTTTGTTGTTACAATGCTTGTAGACAAAATGTTGTTGATCTTATTTAAAATGAAATTTTGGAGCTATAATTTACATATAATCTAAATTAATTATTTTACAGTATTAAAATGTATATATTTGAATTTCAGTGGCTTTACACTATTAACAAGCTTGCATATACTTAGTGCCCTTTCCATGGCCCAATCATTACCCGAGATGAAAAAGGGAATGCTGTAAATTCAGAAAGCAAATATTCTCACAGTCAAGAAAGTCAACCTTCTACTTCTTCAGGTAGGTTGGACAATAATCAAGTCATATCAACAAGTAAAATTACATCCATTACTATATTATATTTAGTTTGTACTTAGAGTACTGGTCTTATTAAAATCATAAGTAAATACATTGTTTATAAAACGTTTAACTAGTATTCACTATCAGTGTGTCTGTACTTTATGCACCCTTACGATGCTGGTCCCAGTAAAGTAATGAGGAAAAGCATTAGTTATCCAAATAGTCCAGAACTGTTCATCTTCATTGTATCTTGACTTACATGTTGTTTGATGATGGTGTTTCCAATAGAATCATAACAGATAATTACATAATGGCTATCAGGAAATGTTTTCAGGGTACAGATTATTCCTTTATAGAATGCAAAATGTAATATTTTTCAGTAGTTTGATGAGTACCTTTCCTTAATATCGCCAAGCATTTTGACTAATTCTTTTCAAACACTTAGTATCATCTCTTAATACTTTGATTTGTTTATTTTTTTACTTTCTATCATGTCTCATGGAAATAACCAACTAAAATTAGGGTTTCTGATTATTGTAATTTTCAATTATTCCAACTATCCAAGTAATCAAAATATTTCCGCATTAATTTCCCTTTAATATTATTATGTTTTATCAATTCAAGTTCATTCAACTTTGAACTGGTATGGCCTGGTGATTAGGCGGGATCGCCTAGTGATTCAAGGGTCTCGGGTTTGATTTCCGTTGCCACCAAACATGCTGTATGTAAGAGATCTTTCATCTGTGGGCCATTATATTTGTTTTTTAATTATGCTGAGCTACTAATGCTATCTCTCACCATCTGTAATTTTGAGCTGCTGACTAGAGGGAAGACAAATGGCTGGCAGCATCCATCCACCATCCACTCTTTGGCTACTTTAATGTTAAATAAAGTGGGACTTTACTAAATTTTTACATTATGTTTGTAATTTATAATTGTGTAACTGTATTATTTAATGTTAAATAAGGTGTAAAATTACTGTTTTTACATTGCAGTTTGTAATTTACATAACTTTATTCTTTAGTGCTAAATGAACTGTAAGTTTACTTTTTCTATATTGTGTATGTCTTAGGTTTGTAATACCACAGCTCTTAGTTTCCTGAATTTGTGTTCTGGTGGAAATTATGGCAGACCCCAGCAACTCTGATCACTAAAATAAAATTTTGGAGTTATAAATTACATATAATCTAAATTAATTATTTTACAGTATTAAAATGTATATATTTGAATTTCAGTGGCTTTACACTGTTAACAAGCTTGCATATACGTAGTGCCCTTTCCATGGCCCCATCATTACCCGAGATGAAAAAGGGAATGCTGTGAATTCAGAAAGCAAATATTCTCACAGTCAAGAAAGTCAACCTTCTACTTCAAAGAGCAGTATTCTGTATCAACTTACCCACATCAGCCTTTTAAATGTGATAAGTTACAAATGTAAATGTACCAATTGATTTTCAATAAACAATAGCAAAATTAATATATTGACATGGCATTAAAATTTGCAATTATCAATCATTTTATAAAGGTAACAAAACAGACATGATATATAAGTTTGCTTCTACATTATACTTTATGTCGTTTAGAATAATATCAGAAAACCAACTCCATGATCGATTATGTATAAATGGGTTGCAATTGCAATACAGCCTTCATTAGGCACAGAGAAAAAAAATTGCTTTTGTAGTAACTCAATCAACCATGGAAAAAAGCTCCTGACTGTAATTTTGAACTACTAACTTAAGGGAAGGTAGCCAATTAGCAGCAACTTTCCACCCATCAAACATGCTAAGGGATTGATTGTCACTGTTATAATACACCCAAAACATAAAATTCTGAAATATTTGTGATAGTATATGGATTTGAACCTGGCTCTGAAATTCAAAACACTAGCACCCTTTTCTTCCATAGAATGTAATTGGATATTTATTGATCAGTGACATTTTCACCTCCATTATTTGCATGAGCAAGTTTCATATGAACCCGTCTACAAACCATAACTTTGATGAGAACTAACTTGAAATTGTATCAGGCAAAAAAGTCCACATTGTATTAATGGTAATAAATTTATATTAAAAGATAGGCGTGTTTTTATCCTATCATTATTATGCAATTTTTTTAATTTCTAGTATTTTTTATAAATTTTACTCTTTCCCCCCCCCCCCAAACCATAGATTTTGAAACTTCTTTTTACAGTGATGCCTGTTTCAGCTTATTGATAACAATTATACCAGTATTCTTTTTGAGGAACAGTTTCTCAAACTATCAGTCTATAACAACCTAATGTAATTATTTTATATAAGGTAAAGCATGCAATGATCCAAAGACTGCTAATAAGCGTAGTAGTATCACTTAGCTCATTATGTTTGACAGTGGGTGTGTCTCATGATGCCATTGCCAACTAATCACCTTCCTAGTTCAGAGGGAAAGCTTAATATGCAGTCGCTAATAGACCTCTCGTACCCATGCGTTCACATGTTACGACGAAGGTACGTTCTCTTGTTCTTTTCAAAATTTTTGCAAATAGCTAAACACTTTCTCTGCAAGTGCAGATAGTTATCGATGTACTCTGTGGAAGAGTTCGACTGTGGTGTTTTAAAAACAAACTTTTGAAACACACATGGTGCAATACCTGGAAACAATGTTTTGTTCAGGGAAAGTTTGGAAAATTGGGGACATTTTATTTTTTGGGTAGTATTAACTTATTAAAATTTGTTACATGTGGGAAGTTTGTTTGGAAAAATTGACATTTGCTTTATCTTGCAGATGATATAAATGTATTAAATATATATAATTTTATATACAAACCAAAAAAGTATTTTCCTTTCACTACAGTTTAAGAGTTTAGAAGTTTAACAATGTCTACATATCACTGTGAAACAGAAAAATGTACACTTTGCAGTCTTTCTGTTATTAATTTGAATATTGGTAGTTTGTATTAAAAATACATAATTAACTTACAGGGTGTCCAGAAGTCTGGACCCATAAGGAAAATAGACATTATATTCATAAAGTTAAACAAACACATTTCTAATGTCAGTTGTACATATTTCAGGAAAGAAAATACCATGATGACACAGTATACCAAGAATTGATATGTATAGCTGTTAATGGCATGCAATTTGAATAATAAATGGATTAAGAACATGTTGTGTATTTTTCCCTATGGGTCCAGACTTCTGTATATACATGTATGGTGAATGTTAATGAATGATAATTCTGTAAAGAACTATTAAATTTTGGATTTGTTATGGTGCATATAAATCTGGAATATAAATTTTCCACAGCTTTGTGGATTTTTGAGTTTTTCTTTGACATCTGGGTCATTTTCTGTGATTTGTGTAAATCTGGTTTTATAAATATGGGGGGGGGTCAGCCTACACTACCACAATGTTCCATGTGTTTGCAGTGTTTTTTAAACAAACAGTCTGATATATAATTACAATGCAACTCCCTCATTGGCTGCTCTTCACTGAACATTCCACAGCACATGTGCTATGTATTATAGCTATGGCAGCCTCCGTCATGCCTATGTAAAAACAGTAACTTGTCAGGTAAAGTTGAAATAGAATCTGTCGAAATCCATCTTTATAATTTGCCACCCAACTTCAAAAACATAATCAATAGACCATCCTCTTTTCATATGTCGATTATTTATTAGATATGTCAAGCCATTTATAGTAAAATGAGCTATAAACTGGGATGAAAACACTGTTGGATTTATTTCATCATTGAGCTGTTCAGTCATATTTTGGCAGCTACATGGAGCTATTTTAGCCACATGTAATGTAAATGGACACAGTATCTTTCAGATGAAAATGTTTGGATCTAAAGGGAATTCTTTTACTCTGAAAGCTGAAATTTTTCAAATGTAGGCAGGAACTTGGCTGGTTTCATGTAGGCAATAATAGGGTTACTTACTAACTTAGCGAAAATGATGATTGACTCTTTATTGTTCATGGGTGATGAACCAGAATAGATAACCCCTTTATTGAGGATAAACAGTGGATTTTTCACAGGATACAGTGCACCTGAAAATATTCATAATTTGTGTCCCAAACATGCTCAGACTTGTTCTGAGATCACCTAATTTTCTTACAGATGTACTCATGCTACACGCTTTTAGCCCATTCCGTAGGATTTCAGAGCTTTTTATTTTTTCCTGTTGACATATCTGATAAATCAACTATAATTGCAATTTTCGTAGTCTATTTTAGTTAAAAGTCTGTTTCAACAACTGTGTATAAGAAAAAATTACTTTAACCTATAACCCATAGGTTTTATGGGAAGTAAATATGCTATAAGGAGGGAAAAAATAAAGCATATTTATTAAAAAAAAAGAGATAAGAAATTCAAAAAACTGAAAGTAGCTTATTTCTTGATTTGATAGAACGCAGGAAAAAAATTTCTGTTTTGATAATGGTTGGCTACAGTGTAGTTTAATAAGGTTTCACAAAAGTAATAATAAAAATCCTACCTGCTCACCCTAATTTCTTCCTCACAGTGTTACCGTAATCACAGAATGTTTTGTTTTGTTTTTGGCCAAATGTGCAATGACATAAACATAATAAGGACAGAGATGTGTAGAATATTCATTTTGCCTTTTCAAAATAATAAATTGTTGGCTCACTTTACACTAGAATATTGTTTTGTACAAAATAATGATTTATTTCATACCCATGAAAACAAAGAGAAAAAAATTTATACTACAAAAGAAATCAAATTATAACACAGCATTTTTGGCTGGAATGCCTTTCCTCTGGTGGCTTTAAACTTTAAATCCCCAGATGTAGGTCATGCTGGCCTAAAACATCTATTTATCATTTATCTTTTTTTTTTTTGGAAATACAAGTTTTTCTTCTTTTTTGTTTAATTATACCACAACAGATTTTGTAGGACTTGTTATTTTATACTTATGATAATCTTATTCTCCTCTACCTGCCCTTCGGTAGCATAGCAGTTTGTCAGCAGACTTACATTGCTAGAAACTGGGTTTTGATACCCGTAGTGGGCAGAGCACAGATAGCCCATTGTGTAGCTTTTGCTTAACTTCAAACAAACAGTTCTCCTCTGCCCATAACCTTAGACATTTTCAAGCAACTTTTTATATTAAGTTAATAAAGTTGACTATCCTAAAACAACAACTCACAAATATCTTAAAACTGATATTTTGCCATTTTCTAACATTTATTTAGTACATTTCATGCAGAAAAATGAAAAATATAAAACAAAATTGTCATTTCTGCACAGGCAAAATAAACAAAACACTTGTTGATTTTTTAAATATATTTTCTGCCTATCCGAAAGAATAACTTTATTTTTGTTAAGAAACTATCACCTCTTGAGGATATATTATCTATTTATTTATTTTCAAGCAATTTCTTCTTGTTTTTTTTTTATGTTTAGTGTTTGTACATGCTTTGGTTGGCACTCTTTTCTGATGTCACAGTAAGTGATTTGATTATTTACTAATGAAATGCAGCTTTGGAAACTGTTAAAAGATAGATTAAATATGATTGGAGGAAAAATTAGACTTTTCAGGTAATAGAGTAAATAAAGTGATTTGAGCAGTAATTTATCGTTTATTGGGAAAGATTCTAGTCAGAGCTCCTGTATTATTAATAAAGGCATTCAGTGGGAAATTCTGAAGACTTAGGAATAACTAACGAAACTTGGAATTTTTTTGTAGTTTCTGTAGAAGCTATTTTCATTCTTGAAGATGTTTGAATGTTATTATCTGTATGAAAGCTATAGAAATTGTCTTTAATGAGAAGACATCAGATAAGCTTAGTTAACTTTAATGAGTACAGTATATGATGACAAAATATTCTGATAATTCAATTCCTTTTTTATTGAATATTATTTTTAGGTATTCAAACAATGTACAAAAATAAATGGGCTAAATTGCTGATTATTTATTTCTTAATTCCAATCATAATTTGTTTTAAATATAATTATTATTACCAGTGGTAGTGAAACATTTTCTTTATTTGATTATTAATTTTTTGATTTACATGACATCAGCGTGTGGGTCACTGCAAATTTGAAAAACAAACAAAATGGCAACCACATAGTAATCTTGATGTTATTGATTTGTCAAACAGGAAATTTTCAAGTTATCTTTTAAAAGCATTTGCTGCAAAAGATTTGGCTAAAATAAATTTGTTTTTTGTTTGTTTTGTTTTCACAAAATGTGCAAATGGTAACTGCCAGTGGAAACACTGAATATGTCTATTATATTAAATGAAGGGTGATTTAAAAATGTATAAATAAAACACCAAAATTAGCTAAAATAGGAAAATTAATCACATGATAAAAATCAATAAGTTGAATTTAATAAAATAATGAGTCTAACAAACAGTTGATTACCAAATTTAACTAATTGTCCAACTGTACTTTGAGTAGTACTTTTCATTATATTGCCTAGTGCCTCAAAATACTTTGGTTTGTATTTTTCATTACTTTTCCTAGTATCTCATAGGATATTGACTAATACTTTTAACCATTTTGACTACTATCTTATACTGATTAGTATTTCGTACTTTGGTTTGTATTTTTCATTACTTTGACTAGTATCTCATAGGATAGTGACTAATACATTTTGACTAGTATCTTATACTATACTGATTAGTATTTTGTGCTACTTTGACTAGTACCTCATTACTTAGTTTACTTCTTTTTTGTTATTGTCTTAGGTGTAAACATCTTTATTTTTATTTACTCATCTTGATCACTAGCAACACAAAAATTAATTAAAATCCTTAGGGACATGATATAGCTTTTTGATTTTAGAGATTTGCCTTTTGCTGTTTGTTCTGTCTATCTGAAGCTCTTGATTTCATTTCTTATGTCAGAATATCATATATTACTGCATCAGAAGTGAAACAAGTTTTATAGCTTGTAAAGGAAGTAATTTTTGTTTGGTGAACTATTTCCTTTAGCCTGCTTTTTTTTTATCAAGTTTTCTTTGTTGGTTACTGGTTTGTAACGTCTTGTACTTACTAGAAATTCTCATTAACAACAGAAACTTAAAAAGCTGAAACTTCTTGGTAAGAAATACCCAGGGTTTTATTTTATAGATAACAGATTTTTGTATTAGAACATTTGAAAGATGGTCCTGATTCTAATTTTTTAATCTTCAACTTGGTGAGTGGGCACCCAATAATTCTGTGTTTATAGAATTTCAATTTTAAGGAAAAATAAATAGTCAGAATATATATTATGACAATACTTTGGTAATAAGTTTTGTCGTAATTGTTTTGTCTGCAGCAGTTTTGTCATTTTGTAATTATGATTTGAGCTTTCTGTCCTTATAATTATAGTGTTGTTTTCAGTTTTCATGAAACTGCATATTTCTTGGTTATTTTTAATTTTGATATGAAAGTTGTATATACATCTTAATGTATTAAAAAATTTTTACTTCTGGTTGGGTTTTAGGAAAACAACCTGACTGGCAAGATCCAGATCTTCTGAGAGATATAGAAGCTGCAACTGGGATCAACCTTGAATTGCCACACTGCCGGGGTAAAAGTCAAAAGGGAAAAGGAAAAGGGAAAAAATCCAAAAAGAAATATCCTGGCTTAATAAACATCAAAACCTATCAGAACACAACAAGAAAACGACTTTCGAAAAAAGTTTTCAAAAAGTGAGCAGAAAATGTTAAAATTACCAGTTTAAATATGACATACATTAATTACTTTTTGTAAAAACAGATTTATATATTAATAGTTTTTCATTAAGTACTATGTTGTTTTATCTTTATTCGCATTGCTTTTTAAGAAAAAGGTATTTTTATGAAGGGTTTATTCCATAATTTCTGATTAAATTAAAGAAGCTAGGGAAGAAAAATGTATACTTCTGTAGAACATTGTACTGATTTTATGATAAGTTTTTTTACTCCACTGACTACCTTGAAAACTTAATATTAAAAATGAAATTTGTGAAAACAAAAAAACAGTGAAGACCTTTAGTTTAGAGAAGAAATTCTAAAAAGGTAAAACCAGTGTTTGCTAAAAAACAGATCTTAAAGATTTGATATCTAGGAAGGAAATTGATTACTAAAAAAGAGGAATCACATGGTAGCTTCAAGTCTCAAGGAAAGTTCTCTTTAAAGAGTAATTCAACATAACCCTGTTTCAATTAATATCTGATACTATTCATATTTTCTATCAAGAAAAAAAATTACTCACTTTTGCCAAAGTTCTCTAACTAATTCTGAAATACAATAACATTAGGAATGTTTGTAAAAGCATCTTCTAAGCCTGTTCTTTATCTTGTTCACAGCATTCAAGAAAGACAACTATCAACTGAGGTTGTACTTGTTTAATAAATAGATACTATTATTTATTTCAAATAGTATGAAACTATTAAAAGTACCTGTTAGTTTGGGGCAAAATCAACTGTGATTAAGTTATTTTTGACACATTTTTTAATATGTGTCATTATGTATAATTTGTAAAAGATTTAAACAGAAGTGAAGTATATTTTGTTCTTTTATGCATATTCACAGTTATAGGAGAAAACTTTGGCACTTAAATCACTGACATTCGTACATTTTTAAAATATAATTTTATTCTTCTGCATTTCATTGTGAACTTGCAACTTGTGGCTTTCATTAAAGAAATCCTCCTGAAGCTTGTCATGATTGACTGTATGAAGTGTGTTGTATTTATGAATTATACCCATGCTTTTGATAGTTGTTTTGCTTTTGAACAACCTGCATAGAAAACTTGAGTGAGTTATGATATTGTGTTTTCTTAAGGTTTACTGTTATCTGTCATAATAGTGTAGTCCTATTAGGAAGTTTCTGTACAAGTGTATCTTTTATTACTGTTACCTGTTCCTTAGTTGTCTGTTCATGGCCAGATTTTTTATTTCTGAAATAGAAGGTTTTCTGGTTTTACAGTACATTTGTAGTTTCATTGAATTTGCAGCTGTCTCTTGTTCCCTTCTGAAAATTGGTTGTTATGGTGTGGTGTAATTACCTATATCTCAGCTTCAAGAAGTCATAAGCTATGGATCTAAACATGTCACAAAAGCTCTTTTTTTCTTTCATTTTAACTACAAAAGCAACAGTGCTTCTAATTAAGCAATTTGCATAGAGGTCAGAACAAAGTGATTAAAGCTTAGCTTGGTGATGTGTTACTTGAAGAAAAGGTACCTGTCAACAACTATGCTACAATTACAGTCCTGATTTTTTTTTAAAGCTTGTATTTGAACTCTGAGAGTAAAATAAATTTTTTGTGTTACAACATGAGGAAGGCTACTTAAATCATTTAGCACTCAATTGTATCAAGTTTTATTTTGCCAACAAGGCTGCTTTGTTAGGACTTATTTGCATTGTCATACCAGCCTAAGTAACTCCTTGAATAGGCAAAATAAAACACTGAAAAGAAATGTAAAAGCAAGGATATGGATTAATATAAAATGTATTTAAAACTTATTGCATTATCTTCTGATAAACAGTTAAATATGAAGTTGGCTTGTTTATAATTTTG